GATAGCAGGTATATTCATAGGATTCATAGGTAATATATACTAAGCCATTCAAAGCAGCTATGACTGTCCAATATGTTTCTTAGTGTGTATGAATAGGAAAGCTCCAGAACTGCTCATCCAACAAGTGGAAAGAGTAGTGTTCAACTCTCTTGAAATTTGGGAGAATATAACTGAGTACACTAGAGTGATAAAGCCTGAAAGGGGAAAGAAAAAAAGCAAACCCAAAATGTCACTCTGATGGTCTGACTTGCATAGAGTGAACCCATGAACAAAGTACCTTTAGGTCTTATGTTTAAATAAAAGATGTGTTATCAACTCAGGTAAGTTGGAAGAAATCAGATGATGGCAGCAGATAGCCAGGGGATATCCGTGCAGTGGTATCTGCATCTTATGTTTGCTTCAGTGTGAGACTGGTACATGTCTACAACATAAAAAGTGTGTTCGCAGATAAACACAGACAACAGGCTGATTCTCTGTTGGTTGCCGAGGTCAGACTATCAGCACGACTCAGCAGTGAAGTCGTGGAGGCACTGGAACAAAGGTCAGCATTTGGACTGCAAACAGAAAGACAGCTTGTCCTGTCCCTGAGATTAAATTTTTGTCTCTAACAAATCAACTACAACCCTTACAGCCTTATTTATGTAACATACAATCTTTTCACATTAATCTAAATTACCTCATTTTACTGTTACTGTTAGCACATACATTTTATTTGTAGTCTTGTCCAATCTGGTGGTGGGGACATTGTGTACTTGTCTAAATATTTTGTCACCAGTTTGTCAACGTTTTATTGTTGCAAACCCAGTTGTACCATTAATCTAACTTAACAAGAAAGACTATTTAAAAATAGAAATCAAGCTGTCTACGTCCCTAGTTTAATGCTGTAAACTGACATATTGTTTGAATTCAGCAAAATTAATGTAAAATGTAGAAATGTAAATGTAGACGACAGATCAACAGAACAAGCCTTTAAGTTTTATTGTGAACCCCTAACATGTTGGATAAATACAAATTAATACGACAGTGTTAACAGTTACTGTGGAGCCTCACTGGCAGACAAGAGGGTCTGAAAACCCTCATTTAACCATTTAATTGGCCTCTCATATGCTAATTGATATTCAACCATTCTTGAGTTTTTGTTGGTGGACCTCTAACATGAGAAGATGAACAGACTAAACAGTCACTCTGTCTAAATATTGATTACAGTAGGTAATATGAGCTGGCTCTGACGACTACATCTAGTTGGCACTTGGCTTAAGCAATAGTGATTGCATCATCCTTCTGACTGGAAAACTTTGGGGCGGGAGGACTTTGCTTTGTCTCTAACTGACACTGAGTGGTACTGAAAGGAGTGTAGAGAACATACTAGAGGTTTCATCCTACTTCTTTCTTTAACCCTACATATCACAACTTTACGGCTTTATATATACCAAACATAAAGGCAGTCCATGCAATACAGTATTTGGCCTTCTGAGGCCTGTGCCCCAACTCACCGGAGGCTCTCCAGCTCAGCGGGCAGGTCCAACTTCATCAGCTTCTTGTACTTCTTTAAATGTGCCTCCCGTACAAAATTAAGCTTCATCACTTGATCCATGTATCTAAAGGGAAAATACAGAAAGTACACAGAATTATAAAAAACAGACAGTTCTAGTAGTAGAAAGGGGAGACCAAGGTGTCCTTACCTGTCAATGGTCCCAAACAGCCACTTAGGCTCTTTGTTAAAGGGCATGAGCATGTTATGGAAACGTGCCAACTTGGTGGCAATCTCAGCTGAGATGGCAGGATGTGAAAGTTGATCTGTGCGCATGCGAGTATTCTGGGAAAACAGAGACACACAGCAATGAAAGATTCTGCAAATGCCTCCTCATTATTAGGCACTTAGGTCAGGTAACTACACAAGAATCTTTAAAACTCCACAAATTTGATGGCATTACATAAGCAACTAAAGAGCACTCTTCAATATGACTGCATCTCTGAAAGGCATTTTTATTTGTAATAAAAGCACAAAAAATATTTTCCATAGAACCTACACATTATAATTTGACACTGATTATTGAATGCTTTACACAATAACATACACAATACATAATAATTATTCTTATCTAATGAAAGTCAAGGTCATGTGTCACTTTGTTTCCACTTTGGCTGAAGATGACAGCAGTGTGAAACAAGGGAGACAGTGTGTGTGTGTGTGTGTGTGTGTAGACTTAGGTTTGCATCATACTGGAAGGTATTGTTCTAAGCGTCCCTCGGGGAAGATGCCGTAAAGTTTTGGGCCCAGAGTTCGTTCTGCCAGGATGGCAAACATCACGCTCTCTAACACCAGAGAGTCCACTCCCTGTGACAGAGACACACAGAAAGAGAGTGCGACATGATATGTCAGTGCTTTTGGTTTCTGTCCCACAAGAACAATGACTGCTACAGTAGTTTGACTACAGTGATGACATATTTTTTCATCTGACTATAATATTCTTCCCATGATAATTAAATATGGGCAGCCACACATATTCACGGAACAATAGTTTCTTGAGGACCCCATCTCTGCAGACCAACCTGTAAGATGGCACCATAGACTCTGAGGAGCACCTGGCGAGGTTCATCTCCCTCAGACTGCACATGCTCGGGCAAACTACATAGATACAGCAGATTACTCAGTCCACCACTGCAAAACAAAAAACAGCAAGCGTTATCATACCAAAGGAAAGATAACATGACCTCACAGGATCCTGTCATAAAAATGAATCACAAAACAGCTGGACAGTTTGCTTTGAATGCTTTCACACACACACACACACACACACTTGGATGGTTAAATTGAGGGCTCCTTAAAGAAAGGCAGAGCAATGGCAATCCCATGGTGTTACAGGGGTAGAACATGGATCTCATACAAAATATGACACAAATCGTAAGGTATGGGAACCGCTGTCATAGGAAGTGAATGATGGCCATTATAGAGTCCTCAAAGCAATAGTGGTCCCCACAATGACTAACTTGATATCACTATTTCATCGTTACAAGGGCATTTTAGTGTTTTTTTTTTTTTTTTAATTTTTTAAATTTTTTTTACCGTCATTATTTACCTGACGATGCTGATTTGAAAATCATCCTCTTGGATAGTCTTCCACGACCCTGACAAAAAGTCTCGGCACCAAGTAAACCCTCTGCCCCTGGTGTCCCGGTCGACCTCCTCGGTTCTTCCATCCCGGAAAGACTCTGCCTCCGAGTCGTCATCACAGTTGGCCCCACACAGTGGACTCGGGGTCCTTAGGTTTCTCTCGTTAACGACAAGCGTGCTTTCCACTCGTTTCTTCTCCGTCGGAGGATCCGTGTCTTCTGTTGTGACAGTAGGAATGTTGCTGGAAAGCACTGGCCCTGGCTTGCCTGCTCCGTCCAAGCCCTCCTTGTCGCACCCACTGCTGCTGGTTACATTTCGACTCGACTGCATCGTTAGTTTCCGGGCGAAGAGTAAAGGAAGACCGGTGTGAAATGTCGGTCTGTGACGGCTGAACGAACTCGCTGACAATCGCAGTTCACCGTTAAAGCCACTTAACCGGAAGAGCCGAACATAACTGGACGGTCTGAATGGCATGGGAGGCGATTAATAGAAACCATTAAAGTATTATATATTCAGAAAACACCTCCTCGCACGCGCAGCGCCCGATGATTTGGACTGAGCCGAACTGGCGTATTCAACGTCCAATCACGATGCGAGTATACGTTCACCTGCCAATCCCATTGGTCGTTTTAGGGGTGTAACTTTATACGTCATCTCGTACGCTGAAGGTTTCTGGGAAATGAAGTGTTTGTTTTGGGCTATGACAGGCGTGAATTTACACTCAGTTGGCTGTGTATTAGGCGTACCTGACCTAGCTAAAACTAATGCAGTCAAATACATCAGTCCTGCAATAAAATCATGCCTTCATGATGGTTGTAATGTTCAGTTTATGTTGAAATTGTTTTAGAGAGATGTTGATTGAACTGTATGATCATTTTGCAGGATGCAGTTTGTGGTGCTGTTGGATTGTATTATGCACTAATATCATTGTGATGGATTTTAAGTAACTCTGAAGCAAGTTGATTTTTACACTGTATTGTATAGTAACCTGTAGTATGCTTTATGGGTGGCATTCAAGTTCTAGCTCATTTATTCTTTATGGATGTTCATGAGTTGGAAACAAATGCAAACTCAAGGTAAAACACACAGAATTCAGTTGGATACAAATTATAAAAGCTATATTGAAATCGATCAAAAATTGCTCAAATGTGGGTAACTTGGGCTAAGCCAGTTTATTTGTTTATTTAGTGGCTTAAATGTATTAACGTTCCCCTCCAGACATGTTTTAAAGTATGTGAAAATACTCTGCTATGATTAATATTTTGTTCAACATGGTTTTCCTATATAAAAAAGTGATCAAATGAAAAACTGGGGCTGTAAGCACATCTACACCAGGCCTTGTGCCCTGCCCACCACCGCTGCTTGTGGTCGGTTGACTGGTAAGAGAGTAGTGTGTATCAAGATGGTTAGTGGAGCAACATCAGAGAGATTCAGCCACATGTTTGAGCCTCAGTCAGACCCAGACTCAGATGAGGAGTCTGTTGTGCACCAAAATTTGCGACTAGCAGACATACCAGAATGGTTAGCGTAGTTCGCAGCTTTTATTTGTTTTTGTTGTTTGTTAACTTGTGGTTAGCAATAGCTGGGGTCTTTAAGGGATTTAATGGACAACTTTTGGGCAGCCACTAAATTGTCTCTTTATTTCCCTCCTATTACTGTGACAACAAATAACTGTATCTGATCTGATCTTCTGGAGATAAATATATTAATTTTGAGAAATAGTCATGTAATTACTGCAGGATTAGTATTAGCTTTTAAGCAATGAGATCACAATGCAAATAATGTAGGGTATCTTAATGACATTTTATGAGATCAGACAACACATTGAACAACTTGGGAAGATTTATTTGAAACCATGGGCAGCAGAGATTCCATGGCATGAAAGTTTTGTCTGAATGTTGTCACTGAGTATGTAGGTCAGTGATGATAATCTCATCACTGCTAACCACAGTGGTCTCAGGTCTGTAGCCTCTCTGGACAGAAGCAGCAATGTCTCTCCCTGTGTACAAAACATGGCAATGTTCAGTTTCTGTCAGACTTGAGGTTATGTAAGACACAATATGATACCAGATCGAATATACTCTTTTGGTGGAAATATGTTCTGCTATGAGTTTTTCTGTTTTTTTGCAGGACAAAAATATATACATGTGAAACAGCCTTCATACAAATACCATAGGCTGCTGGTGGTGTATATATCATCAAAGTGAATATAGTGTTACTCACTCTTTCTGAAGCACCTAGGTTCACAGTTATTTCCAAGAGAGGGTTGGCACACAGCTGCATCACAGTGGATATATATCTGGAGGAAAAAAATGTGTATTGTTTACAAATATGTAGATAAGGTGATATTAAGAATGAGTTTAAAAGAAATTAGAACCTATACCTTTTCCCTGATAGGAACCATAATCTCTGGATCTGCAGCCCCTCCCTTGCCAGGATTGGCAGCTGCAGTAGCTACAAAAGTGAACATCTTGAAAATAAAACGCCTGTGGTGGGTCGGGTACATGAGTCCTGATGAGGAATCCACTGGGACTAGGCTGGTCAGGTAACGGTCATCACGATAGGGGCAGCTATGACAGGGGGAGAAAGGGTGGAAGAGGGCCTGAGCATACCATCAAAATGTATTATCAATGCCTATGTCCATATCAGCCCAACACTTACTCTTACCCATCAATCAGCAAGTCCCATTGAGGAAGACTGTGAGGATAGGTGTCACAAGTTGCCCAACATCTTCCAAGAGTCAAGACAAGGTTGGGATCAGTCCTCTCTAGCATTCGGACCTCAACGTACACAGGATCCCTGAGCACCTTTGTGACAGGGTAGTCAGTCTCCCCGTAAAAGGAGCTGTAGGCCACCATCTCTGATGAAATGGAAAGAGTGGTCGGTGACACAGTCAAATGAGGATAACTGCACAAAATATCTCCCCCAAACTAACCTTCCACACAGCCCTTGGCAGCACACTGTCCATTGGCCAGCCTGAGCTCCACACGCAGAGGTCCAGGAGCAGCAACTGGGGGCGGTGGAGGAACCAGGCCAACCTCAATGACCAGAGCCTCAATCGAGGTGCCAACATATTTACACTGGATAACTAGCCTAAGACAAGAAATAAGGTGTTTGTCAGAAAATCATTGCGTGAGGATTGGTTTAAAACATGTCACAATGGACTAACCCTAAGCCATTGCAGAAAATTCAGGGTGAGTTCAGTGTATTTTCTTCATACCACTGAATTATTTGAGTAGCCTACTGTAAGCCTTAGCCTACATGTAGTAATCATTTATGTTGTGACCGCTCAGTGTTACAGAAAGAAAAACATACTCATAGCTGCTGTCCCTGGTAACTCCTCCGAAGGGTCCAATAGCGACTTCATATGCGGAGGACATCCTGTTCTCATAGATTATAACACCAGGCCCCTCCTATAGTAAGTTGGCAGTAGTTCAATCTTTATTACTACCTGACAAAAATAAATTAAAATCAAATTGAAGAGTCAAAACAGTCACGAATCTTACCATCATAACAGTGCCGCAGGCAGTGACAGGGAACTGGTAGATGGCAAAAGCTGAAGTGGTACCAACAGGATTGCAGTTTTGATCATTTCCAATGAAACTAATGGTTTCCAAGTCGATGTTGGGTAGGGTGGCGTCTCTAGCCACCACCACAATGAACTGGGCATCCTTGGTGCACTGAAGAGTCACTGAGAACAACAAGTTAGTAGGCAAAGTGCATTGCTTATGCTATGCTCTTTGGACAAATTTAAGTTCACTATAAGTGTCAGAGTAGTGTATCCTTAAAGTTCTGTGAGGATTAGAGAAATACTTACCAGATTTGCCATAATAGCACATGCGTCCATCAAAGCAGCAGTTTATAGCATCACACTCTGAAGCAGAGATGCTAGGAGCCCCACATTGTATCTTGTAGTGCTCCTCCACTTCACAAGTGTGAAATACTGGTGTAGGCTGCTTTGGCACCTGTGGCTGCCCAGGTTGCTGAGGCACAGGATCCACAGCCTTTTTGGGTGGAGTATGTGGCCTCTGACGCTGCTGTGGTGGCTGGTATTTCGGAACATTGGGCAGTTGGGGCTGCTGAGGCTTCTTCAAATATTGAGCTTCAGCCAGACAGCCAAGTAGGGCCACTGCTAGAAGACAACCACAAATCGACTTCATTGCCATGGCCTCACAGCACAGAGTGATTCATGAAGAACACCAGATGCTGTGAAAAATGTGAAAATTTGCTGACTTTTATAAGATATGGGTGATGCTGACTTGTTGATCTCTCACATCCTATTTGCTGCCCACAACTGTCAATCAAATGTTCCAGTTACTGGTTGGTCTGTGGTGGAGCAATGAGGAGATTGAAGATAATGCCAAAAAAAGTAAACTCTGAACCAAAAATATAGCAGTTTCACTGAGGTATTCCATTAGTAGATACTACCTGTATACATGATAGAAAACATAATATTAGATACACATGAATAATTATTAATTGGTATCTACACTACGCTTGCTACAGAGAGCCCACTGGTTTTTATTGATCCATATGACCTACAATGTGCTGCTCACATTATTTGTGCAGCATAGCTGGACAAAACAAATACCTCCTCTTATCTTTAAGTGTAGTTGTCATGGCTTAATATCATGAAGAACATGATTAAACCTAACCTCCTCCTTGTAAAATAAAAAAAAAATTCAATTGACAAACATCCAGAATCACTTAGAGTAATACTCAGATCTTGATATAAGAGTGAGTAAAGTGGTTAGAGCATGCACATCAAATAGTATATGACAGACCCTTTCAGTATTAAGTAGTCACACATACTGGGAGCTTATTTATGGCTAGTCTAAACAGTAGTTTAAAATATCTTCTGAAATATATCAGTTTATTTTTGACTTGCAAATGTCTTCATTGTGACAATAGATGTAACAGATTGAAATTATTGTTATAGTGACTAATTGACTAGTCATGATTTTAATGAAAGATAATTCATTAAATTAAAGTTAAACCTTGTCTTTTGTATGTTTGGATTTTTAAAACTGAGATGTTAGTCAAGCTGGAGTCATGATTATAGGCAAAATTGAAAAGGAAACATTTCGGTTTTACTTTTCAGAGATCTACAAAAAGGATATTAGCATCTGGACTATAGTGGAAACATAGTGAATTGTAATGTTTAAAAGACTAGCTATCAGCAATCACTATGACAAGTGATAATCGTAATATATATTTCATAATAGATATTTCCTGAAATTGTTTTATGTGTTAAAATTCCTTTTGAGATCATCAACATTCTACAACCTTGTTGGAAAAAAACACTGCACACAAAAAGGTCAATGTTTGGAAATTCAGGTTGGTCTGACATAGCTGACACAGTAGTTTTTCACGCCCTTGTAGAAATAAAGGGACACAAGTTACATAGATGATTCATATTTTCAATTTTAAAAGAAATTTGGATGGGTACCAAGATATATATTATATTATTATTATTATTATTATTATTATTATTATAAATTCAAAATATCTTTTGTTTGTTTTGACTTATATACTGTATGTAGAATCGCATTTTGTGGAATAATGTCATGATTTTAGATATCCATATATATAGATATATATATATCTATATATATGTATGTATATACACTGTTGCCCATAAAGTTGGAATAATTAGTTTTCAGACACAATCCTCTGTTTATTCCTATTTAAATGCATCAGTAATCACTTTTGACCAGGTGCAATGATTACATTATGTGTCCCAATTATCCAGGTGAAATGAAATAAATCACATTGTCACAATCATTTCATGGAAAGAGGTAAAAAATATTTATTCCAACAGTGTATATATATATATATATATATATATATATACACACTGTATGTTGTTAGGAATTTAAAAATATCTTTAGTTTAATATTGGAACTATGCACTAAACTGGAAATATATTAAACTTTTTGAATGGTCATTTAACTTAAATCGAGATATCTCTGATATTTAATTTGATAATAATGACAGCCTCATTTTCAAGAGACAGCCACGTTTTCATCAAGATTCTGTTATGTAGTCAGTATGTAAAAACAAGTCATTGTCAGCTGCTTGAATATGAGAGAAAGTGGCCTCTTTTGGTGCTTTAACCAGATTTTTTATTTTTCAAATAAGCCTCATATTGAACATTTTCTTCACCTGAATTTTTATGTAGCCTCAAGTTAACTGAATTGAGAGATGGAATAGTTTCTATTTGAAATTATTTGTGAAATATTTTGTGAAAAAGAAGCAAAGCAAAGAAAATAAATAACAGATGGGCATTAAATATTGTCACTGCTCTGTATTGTGAAGTTGCTCGAAATATATGTATTTTAATGGTTTCCCCCTAGAATTATGTAACAGGGCAAACAAATGGTCACTTGGGATTTTGAGGATTAGATTGTACTAATATGAATCAAAGTAAAGCTATCAGTAAAGTGAGTAAATAAAAAAAAAAAAAAAATACAATAGTTTGAAAAATGAAACTATGAGGGAATAACTGAAGATTGTTAACGGACTGGGATTCATCGCAGAGTAATGTGACAATGAATCCTTAAAACCTGAGTCAAGAAAAGAAAACATTCTTTTCACCTCTTTAAACCAGAGTAGGAAGAAAATGTATATTAAAGGCCTTTATAGAGGTGGACATTTTGGTTTGACACACCGGTATCATCATCAGGTCAAAACTGGTCAGTGCTTTGAAACATTGAAAAGTATGCTCAATTAAAGTCTTTGGTTTTCTCCATTCTCTGCTCTTCAAAACCACTTCCTTCAGGTTCCCTGGACTTACTGTAACAGGAACTGACTGAACACTTGGCCTCTGTTTACTGTATTTAATACTTCATCTCAGCTGATTCTAGCTGGAGCCAAATTGATTTGCAGCCCTCTACAAAATGTACTTTGGCAAAGAGTTTTACACGTCATGCTGAGGGCAGGTGGACCTAACCCTGGTCAACATAACTTTTTGTGACCACTATTTTCTGATTACATGGTTGCCAACTATTTATACATCTTTTCTCACTTGTTTAAAGAAAATTTAACAGTAACTTTCAATTTACCAGTATGATGATGATATTTAATTTGGTACATTACACTCATATTGATTAATGTTGGCACGTGTATTGTTTTGTGTTTAAAAGACAACTTTTATCCACTGCTTATATTCATTCAGCACAGTCAAATTGTATACATTAAAATATTTAATAATCTTATCCCATCATGCTGTCCAAGGTTTTGAGGTTTTGAGGTTTTTGAGCTGCACTCATTTCATTGACTAAGGTTAGGGCTCCTTTGGTCTGATGGGGAGTGGCCAACTCAAGGGGCGGGAATATAATGGGACTAAACAGGCTCGCTGTATTATAAAAGTAGGTGCACATTTCTAATTTCCTTACAGCCCTGAGTGAACAGCGCAGAACACTCGTTGTTGTGAAGCCATGGTGATGAAGTGTACTCCTGTGTGCCTTGTGGCACTGGCCTTGCTTGGCAGCTTATGTGATGCTCAGTGGGGAGGAGCTCTTCACAAGCCCTCAAAACCTAAATACCAGAAGCCATCGCCACCGGTGAGACAGGAGCCCAAACAGGTGCCTCACGATCCCCAACAGTCAAAGCAGACATTTGAGAAACCACTCACCTGGACATACCCTGAAGATCCCAAGCCCGAGACCCAACCAGAGGTGCCTTTCGAGCTGAGACACCCCGTTCCTGCTGCAACTGTTGCTGTAATGTGCAGAGAGAAAGATGCTCATGTTGAAGTCAAGAAAGACATGTTTGGTATCGGCCAGTTCATCAACCCTGCAGATCTTACCCTGGGAGCCTGTGGTGCTGTCGCAGAGGACACCGGTGCTCAAGTATTGATTTTTGAAGCTGAGCTCCATGATTGTGGCAGCATATTGACAGTAAGCAAAATGAAAAATTCAGTCAGTATTAATTAAAACTACGGGAGAATATGTTCATGTATTTGTTTGTACTAATCTTACAATCATTTCTTTGCTAGATGACAGAAGAATCCCTCATCTACACCTTCACTCTGAACTATGATCCCCAACCTGTGGGTGGTTCTAATGTGGTGAGGACTTCCAAAGCTGCTGTCATTGTTGAATGCCACTACCCAAGGTATGTAGATTACCAGTAAGAGGAGTTGCTATGAACAACAAAACAAACAATATAGAGAAAAGAAATAAAGAAAAATAACATAATTATCATAAATTAATATGTAATCTGTACTCTTTGACCTAATCAAATCCAGTAACTATGGATTAAATGATGGATTACTTAAATTTTCTACATTTTAAGGAAACATGTTTAAACATTTAGGAAGCACAATGTGAGCAGCCTTCCTCTTGACCCACACTGGATCCCATTCTCTGCGGTTAAGGTGGCAGAGGAGTTCTTATACTTCACCCTGAAACTCATGACTGGTGACTTAAAATACAATTTATCTGCACATTTCTACTTTTATGGAACTATGATTCAAAATATGTATTTGTCAGCATTACTAAAATATAATTCTTTTGTTGCACAGATGACTGGCAATATGAGAGGCCAAGTTACCAGTATTTCCTGGGAGATTTGATCAATGTTGAGGCTACAGTCAAGCAGTACTTCCATATTCCCCTCCGTGTTTATGTGGACAACTGTGTAGCTACTCTTGCACCTGAGTTGAACTCCAACCCCAGATATGCCTTCATTGAGAACCATGGGTGAGGTTTAACATGTTAATTAAAGTTGTTCTGTAGAGTGAGAATCAATTATCGCAAACACCAAAACATTTTTGTCCATCACTAATGGATTTTTTCGTATGCAGGTGTTTGGTTGATGCGAGGCTCACAGGCTCTGCCTCAAAGTTCATGGCTCGCACTGCAGAGAACAAGCTTCAGTTCCAGTTGGAGGCCTTTAGATTCCAGGGTGCTGACAGTGGACTGGTCAGTATCTCCAGGGCTGAGTTAATTATGTAATATTTTCTGTTATATGTCAAATACAGCAAAATTACATCTAACAATAACGCAAACTCTGTTATTCAAACAGCTCTACATTACTTGCCACTTGAAAGCAACATCCACTGCCTATGCCATCGATACTGAACATAGAGCTTGTTCCTACATAAGTGGGTGAGTCTGCGAGTGTGGGTCTATATGTTAATGACAAAGTGTGATTGAAGAATTAATATGATATTCACCTCTTACATCTCCTTTTTTCCCTAGGTGGAAGGAGGCCGCCGGTGCTGATGCAGCTTGTGGCTCCTGTGAGTCTGGTGGATTTGGATCATCTGGCACTTCATCTGGTGTAAGTGGTTCCTTTGGCAGTGGCGGTGGATCAACCTCTCTGTCTACTCCTGGAAGGAAGAGCCGTGATGTGTCCCAAACTGAAAGTACGTTATTTAAAAAGTTAATTGTCTATACGTATTTAATATTGTATAAGGAAAATTGAACATTTTTGAACACTAATTCAACATTTAATAGCGTTTTATTGAGTTGATGTTGTGTTACTGCTACCATAATGATAAATTAACTTCTTATTATATGCTTGCCTGTGTTGTTAGACAGCCGCAGTGTTACTGGAACACATGTCTTCTGTTTTTTTTCTCAGTTTTCGAATGGGAAGGTGATGTCACCCTGGGTCCCATCCCTATTAATGAGAAAGTGATTGCTTAACTCACTTCCCTGCCATGGCATTAACCATCTAAATAAACATTCTCATTGGTTCATATTTGTTATTCTCTTCCTTCTTGTTAATAGTTCAGTTTAAAAAGGAAAGAAACTCCATCTTACAATAAATGTAATTAAAATTTGCCTCATCAAAAGCATGATGAAAGTGTGAGAAAACAAAATCCCTAAGATGAAAGTATAACATGTTATTGCCCTTTGTGTAATGATAAATGTTACATATGGACCACATCTGCCCAGTTCGTAAACTTTAAATCCTTCCATTTAATGGAAATAAAAATTCAATTGTGTTAAAAGCTTGTTTCATCCACTAAGAAGAACCATTTTTCTTATTTTTCTCTTGGGCTGTGCACTGAATGTGAAGAAAATAACGTGGGATAAAATGGACTGTGATTTCATCATAAGATGAATACATACATTTATATTGTATAACATAGCCTACTCCATCAGTCTCATCCTACTTATAATGCTAGTCTATACATTTTCAATTCATGCAGTCTAGGATAAAATTAAAATGTCAAGTTAGTTCAAATGGGCTTTACTCTACACTTCTGCACTGTTAGTTGAATAACTTGGTGAATTCGTTATTTACTGAATGAACAAGGTCTAACATATAAACATAATCTATATCAAACATAGGCTAAATCTTCTTATTTGGTCTTCACCCAGTGAGTATAAGTTAGCATTTACCGCCCCCCTGTGGTACAAATGCTCAACTATAGCTTAGCAAAGTACACAGTTTCAGCACCACAAGCAGTGAACAGCTCCACACTGCGCCTGCCCAGTACAGCGTGATGCCTCCTGAAGTCTGAAGTGTGATTCACTAAGTGATTATTCATTTACCATCTGTGAGGTAAATAGAAAGGGAAGCAACGCCAATCTTGATACAAAATACGGCCACATTTTCATGTACTTTTGTATGAAAGACATGGTGTCTCCTGGAGGAAAAAGGTTAGAAACTATATGCTGTGTATAACTTCTTGTGATACTTCTATTTACAGTATATAGACTGCACACTAGCCAGCACTGGTTTAAATAAACACCGCCTGTGCACAATGGAACTAAAACATTTGTTTATATGTAGCACCTGTTATACCTGAAAGGAGACTTCTTGCATTTTAATTTGTGGCACTTTATTTGTGTTCTTCTTATGTGTCCTCGGAATTTGCTATTTTTTTCACTTATATCTTTGCTATTGTATTTTCCATTTTGTCTACCTTTGCCCTCAGTGTTGGCCTATTGATGTGCTCGTTTGCTGTGCTCTTCTACTGTCAGCGCTGCTCTTTTTTTGTCTCTTTGCCTTAATATGTCTTTTTTTTCGGGGCCTGCTTTGTTATCTTTAGCCTATAGGCTCAAGACCCCTCAAACTAATGGGGTCCAAGTCAACAAAATCCAAACAATATCCACATCCATTATCCATCAAAGTAACGTAAACATGGACTTGAATAACATTGAAACGCACGTCTTTTCAGGGGAACCCCTGGATTCCCCCCTGGGGGAGGATCTGGTGCTCGATGAACCTGACTTTGGAGATCACGGTTGTTCTGGCTGTAAATGTCACTGTCAGTGTAAACACTTAGCGGACATTGTTTTTCTACGCCACTGTTTTGCTGCTTATCGAGCCTGCAGGCTTTAGCTCTGCTTGCATCCACTCAGGGCAGCCTGCTCATACGGTAACGGCACTGACGTTATATCGTCTCTGCTCCACACCCCCCCCCTCCTCCCCCTCCTCCCCCTCCTCCTCCTCCCCCTCTGTCTCTGCCTGTCTCCGCACTGCTGGCCTCTCATCCGTTGTGTGTCACAGGCAGCATCACGGCAGCAGACATTTGGCGAACACAACCACGGTCTGCGGTCGCATACTGCGCGCTTCAGTTCGGCGTGGACGTATCGAGGGAGAACGCAGGATTGTATTTTAATTTCCGCGGCGTTGCGAGCTGTCTCTGAAGAACCTCTCTGCCTTGACACCCCCCACTCCTACCCTGCGTGTGTGGATGGTTGACTGCAGATTTGATGGTGCTGAGCAGGCTCGTCTGATTGAAGGCTTGCGGCCAGGGGGGCATCTGTGGGGCCGCAGAGAAAGACACCTCTGTCCACGGCTTCGTCCGTCCTCTGCCCTGCCACTGTGAATGGACTGCGCTCCCTCCGTGATTTTCTGCAGTCGCTCTGAGTCATTTGTGGAAGAAGATGGCGGACAGGGCTGAGATGTTTTCCCTATCCACTTTCCATTCCCTCTCTCCTCCTGGCTGCAGGTAAGGGCTTACATGGAGAGCGACAGTGGAGGGGGTGATGGGGGCCCGATGTGCACGGTTGATGGGTGGAGAAAAGGACACCAAAGACGAGAAACACACCTACCTATCAGTTTTGTTTTGATGACTGCAGTAAAGCGCACATCCTGAGCCTGGTAGTAATAGATATTTTGAATAACCTGCCAGGCCTGCTACTGCCTCCCTGCGCGCCTATTGCCCAGGAGCTGCAGCTTAACTGTGCTGCTTGTTTGTGTTTTGGAGCTGATGCGCTTGATGGAAACAACTGCTTTCGTAAGACAACTGTCATATTCTCGTCTGCAGAGTGTGAAGGAAGGTAAATGGTAAAATAGATGGCAAATGATTGATCTTTAGCTGTCGCGTCAGTCACCCGCTTTGCGCATTCTCTGTGTGAGGCCCACGCCCTGTTGAGTCCTACCCAGGCAAGGGCATGTTGCTGAACAATGATTTACGGAAGTCCTACTGATATTGAAGCTGGTTCAAACGCATCTAATGTGACCTCTGCGACACACAATATGACAAATCTGCTGGCTGTTTCTTCTTGCTCAAGCACAATTGTGAGTGGGATTATTGTACTGGCAGTTACCAAAGATCAATAACTTGTGTAGAATCAGTGCTAGAGCTACAGTATTCCCTCTCAGGTTGTCGCTGTTATGGGTTAGAAGAGAGGACATGGGGTTATTTTAGTTAAATGTTTCTTGGATGAGAATTAGGCCTGGCAAGGTGTGGAAAATTGCAACACTGGTGTGGTTTGGCTGAAATTGTGTTGGAGGCTGCTGCAATATTCAGATCTGCTTTTTCCTGGAGGCATAGTCTAGGAATATGTCATAAAGATATGACAGATTCATATTCATTCACATTCATTGTATTTCTACTTTGATATAATTTCCATATGCAATATTCTCATGTCTACCATTGCTGTTGCCAGGCCTTCCTCTCTATTACCACATAAGAACAAATCCTATATAGGCTACTTGACAACAAAAGCAATTCTTTGTAACCATCTTGCTATTGTATATTATTTTACAACTAGGAACTTTAACTCACCCACACAGGGTAGTAGGAAGAACAAATGTGAGCAAATGGATAGTGGAGGGTCTCAGCACTAATGCATACAATGCAACAGCATTTCATTGTTCCTATGTCTGCCTCCACATGTCCCATGTCCTACAGAGTCCAATCACATTAGCAAGCCATCTCCCAGTGGATTTTATATCCACAACATGCACTCATGCAGGATTTAGTTACATACTGCAGCTTCATCTCATGAGCGGATCATATCAGATCAATAGAACTGATTTTTTGCATGACTACCAGTGACCTTAGTTCAGCGCACAGAGCCAAGCTTTGGCCATTACATTAACATTTTGAATTTACAGTGCTGGCAAACAGCCTGAGTAAGCTAATCTTAAATGTATCAGAGGAATAATGGGTACCGGTCTTTCTTTATGCACACTTTTGACCTGCTTATATATTCTGTCACTTAGGCTACTCCAAATGTACTTAAAATCTTTCCAGTGAGCTATGGATCTGTGAAGAATAAAGCCAGTGTTACAGACCACTGGAGATATCTGATTAATCAATCAAGAGTGCACCACTCTATTATGTGAATGGGGTGGAGACTGATCAGTTTCACCCAAATGTTTTCAGTTCGTTTTGTGTGTTTTCAAGAGTACACAAGCAGTTTGTGTTTATTTTTAGGACAGATGTGCATCATCAGTTTTAGACAGTGAAATACCAATAAATCAAATTGATGAAATATTAGTTTGTGGAGCATATGGAAATAAAAAGTGTATTTGTAGGTTTTTTTTTCTGTAACATTGCATACATTTGTTCATTGACATCCATGTTTTTCTGTGGTTTGTGTGAGTATGTTTGTGTGTCTCTTTCTCCATGTCTCTCCTGTGTGTGTGACTGATTCATGGATGGAACCACCGGCATTGTGATGGTGCGGTACAGTAATCTGCCTTACATAACCTTAACACTGTTTCCAATGGGCAACATAATCCGTAAGAGAGCCTATCTTTCTCCCCTGAGCACCAGAAATTTATGACGGACTATAATTTCTCCTGCACAGAGGGAGCTCTCTCTTTCTCCACTGAAGATAGAAGCTTTAAGAGATAGGCCTATATACTGCATGACTGTACAGAGAAAACACAGTTCACTAAACATTCAATATATATATATATATATATACATATACATATATACATATATATATATATATGTATATATGTATATGACATTTCTCTCCTGTATAAGAGAATATGTGAATATATTTCTTCCAGCATAAATTAAGTGACATGGCTCCATATAAACAGGATTAACATAATAGAAATGTATGTGCTGTTTTACTTCATTTTCCCATCAAGTCTTCAATTTACAGAATTATTTATGTAGAAATGCAGGTATTGTAGGGTTTTTCAGCCAACATGACCCCTGCTGTGGTTTGCTGAAACCTAAAACAGAAATGCTGACATTGAAACATGGGACTAATAAAGTATAGACAACCCTTACTTTAGAATTCATTGATTGCATTTTGTGAAAGCATTTGTTTGCGCTGTCTTTTGTAGATTTGCTGACGCAGCAGTCTTAAAGCAGGCTGGTGGGAGGTTTTTTTTTTTTCTTTTGGTTGTTCGGCTTTGAATTTGCTGTGTTTACCGGGTTCCAGTTTGAAGAGGCTCTGCTTTCAACAAATCAAATACTGACAGTCTATCTCTTGTATTTTGAATGTAGAAAACACTCACAATGATTTAGCTAAGTCACATGTAATCTACGGTATCTGACAAAACCTTTGAATGTCAGTCCTAAATGGACTCTAATAGAGTTAAAATTATTAGTCAGTAGGTAACCAACACAAACTAAATCAAATTATTTAGATGATTAATTGATTATTGAAGTCATTTTAAGCAAAAATAGCAACAAAAAAAAGATGCTGTTTCCACTTTCTCAAATGTGAGTATTTTATGTAATTTAATATGACTTCTACAAAATTGCCAGGAAGCATCCTTTTACTCTCCTCCACCCACCCATCCCTCTCCCTGTGAATCTCATACGTTTAGCAGTCGATGTTCCACTTTTGCTTTCCGACTCTTTGAAGGCTGTTAGAGAAGGCAGAGGGAGGGCGGTGGGTGGTGATGGGTATGGTTATCATGGGGTAAGAGGCTTAAATCAAATACAGATTCATTTTAGCTTAAGCGTTCCATCGCTGCCTCCCCCCTGCTATCATCCTATCTCTCTCGTGGTGTTCCTGTATTTCCTTTCGCTCATTCTGTGTACAACCACCACTTGCCATGTTTTTGCCTGTCAGTCTCCTCAGTGGATGCTCCTATAGCTTTGTTTTTCCATTTAACAATAATTAAATGAGTCATATTTATGCAGTCTATGCTGATTTGTTTTCCATCAATATGATGCAGCTGAATGTTTCCCGTCTATCAACAGCATCCACTTTACATCTGATGACCTCATAAATTCAAATCCAGCCAAATCTTAAAATCATCCTCTCTGAGCAAACTGACGCATCATCTCCGCCTTCAGTTCAAAAATGGCGTGATCTTCAGGTTTGGATCTGACGAAGACAACAGAGAGAGCTTCATTAGGTTAAATGCATGACTCATATGTGTGTGTGTGTGCCTGAGTGTGTTTGTGTGTGGGTGTGCGTACATTACTGGAGACTGACAGTGGGTGAAAAGCCTGGAAAATCGATCTTGTTAATGAGTTAGTGGCAACCACATCAAATGTCCTTGTCTTTTAAAGATGATGATGTCACCGTGGAGCAGGTGCTCATGGTTAAAAGGCAACTCAATCACAGCAGAGACCCCATCGCTGGCCCCCCTTTGTATCTGTATCTGTATCTATGTTGATATTGTTATTAGACTGGCTTGGGGATGTAACCAACAATTTTCCATTTTCATTATCAATTAGTCTATAGATTATTTTCTCAGTTGGTTTATAAAACATCAGGAAATAATGAAAAATGTCCATCATTATTGTCCAGAGCCCGAGTTGCTGTCTTCAGATGTCTTGTTTTGTTCCAAAGAGAATGAGTTTATTGTAATGTCAGAGACGGATAAACAGAAACTGGAACCATCCGATGCTGAGCTTTATTGATCGAAATATCACTAAAACTGTTGATTGATTATGAAAATTCAAACATTTGCTGTACGTTTAATCATTGCAGCTCTAAAATGAATGATGCTCTTCCATATAATAAAAGGCAGCTTAACTCAGTCAGACAGTTGTGTGAACTTGTGACAGAAAATAATTGTGATAACAAATGTGGGATGGAGAGATCATTTGAATCTGGAAGGGGCAGGGAGAAAATGAAAGAAAGGAGCGAGACCTGAAGACACATAGAGATTGGGAGCAAAGCCCTCATATGGGTGTGCCATTGCAGCAACATGACCAGCATCAGTAAATGGTAATTTTGTGCTGACTTGATTTGTCGTGGTAGGATTCTCATTTTGCTCAGCATGTCAGGATTCACAGTAGATGGAGACTAATGTGATGCAGTAGGTTTTTTTTCCTGCACGATCTCAGCGAGTGTTTTAATGATGTTTCTCTCTCTGGCTCTAAAGCCTCAGCTTCAACATCCTAATTGTTAAGAACAGTCAGAAGCAGAGGTGGACTGGGTGCAAGAGACTTCACAGTGCAATGTCAGATAAGCAGCAAACAGCACACAATATGGTGTGACAGGCACTGAACGCTCACTTGGATGCCGTCTAAACACCAAGCAGGAACATGGACATGTAATGTCAACACTGCAGTAGTGGCTGTATCTCACTATCTGATATAGTTTCAATTCTGAAATCAAAATAATACAGAATATGTCTTAAAACGACGCAGAGTATCTACTGTAAGAGAAAGGGAGAAAGGAGGAGAATAAGGTACTGAGTGGTTTGTTGTTGAGATGAAGGAATGTAAGTGGATGCATGCAAAGGGCTGCACCTCATATGCATCTACTTGTATGTCTGTGTGTCTGTGCGCAGCTGAGGTCACTCAATGTTTTCACACTTCAAGGAGAGGACAGTGCATCTGTCTGGGTTGGGCATCATTCTGCGTCTGCAGCTTTTCACTGACACACATTTCTTAGTTTTTTTGCGGTTGAGGGGAAATGGGGCCACACTCTGTGGTGACATGCATTGCAGAGCTACAGGATGACTCCAACACTAAGCAGAGGAGGACACAAACAAAATGGAGTCTTGTAACACAGCCGATTAGGTATCAATGATGGTAAAAGGGAAGAGGAGATGAAAAACAGATGGCAAATAATATTAAAGAGCCTATTCATTCAAATTACAAGTGTATGTATGTATGTCTAGTGGTATGAAGCCATGCCAGTATTTTTGGTTTTATCCATCCAGGTTTTGACATAATATCTGACCCCACCCCAATACAGTGGAAGGGAATGGAATTTTGTCTATGTTGCTGACAGCACTGAAAATTAAATTTGTAATAATTCAACAGTAAGAAACAGTGTCACTGTTACTGTGGATACTGTGAACAGTTTTCATTAACACTATTATACTTTCATGGACATTGTGGTGAACTAACTCTCCGCTCAACTAAATCTGCTACTGTATGTATACGTAAATGATTACCACATCCATTTTGGGACATTAGTACAATTAGTTTAAATACAAGACCATCACAAACACCATTAGAAGAAGCCTCACCAGCCTCCGTGTACTCTGCATTTTACATAGAGTGGCAGTGGGTCAGATTTCATAGGGAATCTGTTGCATTGCTTCTTGTCACCATGAAATTGTTTATTTCTCTAGTACTCTCTGCACTTTTTGAATTCAACCTTTCCACTTGCCTAGTTACAGGATTCTCATCTCCCTCCCTCCACCTCAACTCTCTTGATTACCTACCTGTCTCCTGTATCCCTCAGTTTCTCTAACCCCTCATCCAAAAACCAAACATGGGACTTTGTTCCACTCGTGTGCTTGTGACAAGCTGCCTTGGATACAGCGGCGCTGATGTGGTGTTTTTCCATTGTGAATCACACACCCACACATACTTAGAAACACAGATTCCCTGAAGGCTTGGATGGGCGAGGAGCTCATTAGTGACCTTCTTTCTCCAGGTTAGGTTGAGACAGGCTCTTTTTGACTGTGTGTGTATCCATGTGGAAAAGTTTTGAGGCTCAAGTCCCACCCACAGACCACACTGAGACTGAGAGGTTGGTGTCATTTTACACTACATGATATATTGTTTCACAGTGTCTGGCACTAGTTGTCACACTGCAATAACACCAGTGGCAAATCAAATCCAGTATGGTACACTATAAAACCATTTTAATGCTAGACAGAAAATGAAAACTAGAAAGTCTATTTTTGTTCACAACTAGTCTTGAAGAACAACTGTGTTGTGTATCTGATAAATAACATAATTTATCCTGATTTAATTACATCTTACTTTGTGGTTTTGCATGAACCCGAACAGCGAATGAGCAATCACAGGTGCTCTGCTCACAGTGGCTTGCAACTGTTGATGTAACATGAGGCAACACATGACTAATTATTACATTTGTCAGATTCTGTGAATGTTGGAACAAAATTGTGAGTGTTTGTACATCCCAGGATATGGCATTTAAAACTGCCACTAGTTGTGGGGAGTAATTGGACACACACACACACACACACACACACACACGCCCAAGGTTAATTATAAAGGGAGAAACCCCCTTTGATGTCCCTCAGCCCAGGACCTGTGCTGTTATGCTAATGAGGGCTCATTTAGAAAGATAAAATGTTAAAGCACTTGCACTAAGTATTTTCACCTTTATCCCAACTGAGAATAATGGAATTTCATGGACACATCTAACATTTTTTGTTTTTATTGAATATACAGTTCCAACTACAGTAGTTTGCCAGTATTTAATAGACATGTATAACAATATTTTTTTACTGTAAATTTACAGTGACAAATATGTTAATTGCAGTTAAACCCATATTGCCCAGATGACGGCAGATGTTTGAGATGTACCAGCGCCTCAGGTTCTTACCAGTGTTTGAGTGGACACAAACGTAATCATTATTATCTGATCAGGTTTATGGTCAGGTTAGGTTACACTGATGACACTTAGGCAGCTGTTGCAAAGCCAACGCGGTTGTTGGTGCGGTCATAGACGGAGTAGTACTCTCTGAGGAACACGTCTCCAAAGATCCAAGAGGGCTCGCCGTCACGAGGGGGCAGGTAGGTGGGGGTGATAGCCACAGAGCAGTCATTGTATCCATTCTGGTTTTGTGGGAGGTGGAGAATGGAAATTTGAATCATTGCATGTACACCGTTAAAATAAAAAAAAAAGAACAAAAACATGGATGTGCGTGAACACAGACAGAACGCAGATATATGCTTGTGCTAAGCAGTAACTTACCTGGCTGATGTAAGCAGAAGGAGGCAGAGGGAAGGAAACCCCACTGATAACAAAGGTGAGAGTAGGCAGGTTGTTGACTTGGCTGCAGTCCACCATATACTGGAGATCAAGACAACAAAGAGATGCTGTTTGAGAGGTTTAATGTATAGGTTTGTATTGGGACTCTCACCTCCTCTGCTCATAATGACTTTTAAATGGTGCAGCTTGTGGACAGAGGAAGAAAAGTGAGGGATAATAATTGTGGCTTACTCTCTGATTGTTTCACCTTTTGCAAAAGTCTGTCTGTCCACCTGCCTGTCTGTCCATTTGTCTTACCATTCCATACTGGCTCTGCTGGGCTCCAATTTCCTGCATGAGGTAACCCAGAAGGTGGCCTGGGGCTGTCAGTGTGGAGGTTCCAGTGTCCACAACGGACTGGCAGCCCTGAGAGCACCAGCCAGTCTCTTGACCATTGATCTGGAATCTAAGGGGCAAAACACGAGCCAAAAGTTTTTTGTTCTTTTTTTCCTTGCACTCATATCAGGACACAAAATACTCATTTATAATCAGGAGATCATTTGACAATTTATGTTTGCAATATGTTGAAAAACACAGACCCTTGAACGCCGATCTGCCAGTAGGTCTCAGAGGTGACAGGTGTCCAGTGGATCTGTCCCCGGAACAAGTTTTCGTCCACTCCTCCGAAAGAGAGCACACTGCCCTGCTGTCCTCCCCTAAAGCAGACAATCAAAACTTAGCTGCAAGCTCTACCAGTTGAGAGAATTTGTTTAGTGCCAGTAGTGTGGATACATTACAGTAACAGCTTTAGTTTTACTAAATAAAAGTCTTGC